GAGAGAGAGGGAGAGGAAGATGAAGAGAAGGAGAGAAGGAGGGAGAGAAGGGAGGGGAGAGGGGGAGGGAGAGAGGAAAGGGAGAGAGGGGGAAGGAAAGAGGGAGGGAGGGGGAGGGAGAGAGAAAGGGTCTCCACTGCCTGATACACAGCTGCACCCCAAAGCCTCCCCCCATCCACATCTGCCTCCTCAGTTACCTGGGTCACCTTCAGGGATTAGTTAGCTGATCAGCTCAAGCTCCCACAACCCAGTCATTTCCCCCAGGAGCACACCTGAGCCCTAGCAGAAAGGGTGGCGAGGAGAGGCCTCTCTAGGAATGAAGGGTTATGAATGGAAACACGTGGGTACAGGTGGCTCTGTCAGTGTCCTGGGCAGGGGAGCGGGGCAGACACCAGTCCAGAGCCTTTAACCCCTTGAGGCCTTTGGGATTCCCACTCGGGTCAGGAGATCACCCAGCGGGACACGGAGCCCCACTATCCCCCTCACCTTGGGTCAGGTTCCTCCTCCTCCTCCTCTTCTTGTAACCAGAAGTCCCTGCCCGTGATGATGAACCAGGACTCTGGGACACTAGGGTGGCCCTCCCTGGTTGAAGCCCAGAGCAGACAGTTCAGAGCCACATGGGAGGTGGCCCTGGGAGGGGACAGGCTCCAACTTGTGGAGGAGGCGGCCCTGCTTGGCCTTCTGCCCCTTCAGGGTTCATATTACAACACAGAAGGACATGGACTCCTGGGTCTGTGGAGGAGTGTCCCTAACCTGCAGGTCACTTCTGACCTCCAGATATGACTTGTGAAAGGGAGCTATTTGCTGGAACAGGCAGCTGATGGCCCGTGGGGAGCGTGGCTCTAGCCTGTGTGCTCTGTCACTCTCTTCTGTTCCCTTATCACTGGTGTCCCACACTCTCCATACCCAGGTCTCCTCTTCCTCCTACCACCCCAGCCACCCTCTCTTCATTCTCACAAAACATCTTCAAAGAGCCATATATGAATAATTACGCGAAGAATGAAATGACCACCCATAACCACAGAGCACTTGTTCTACTCCAGGTCCTTTACACATATCGCATGAATGAACACGTTCAACTCCTCCAGGATGAGTAAGGTATTATTTTTACCTTCAATCTATAGATTTTTTTTTTTTAAAGTGAGGCACAGAGAACTTAAGTAACTTGCCTGAAGTCACACAGTGATATTGCTGCCTTTGCTTTTATTCCTCCCACCCACCTTATTTTTAAGATTAAAGTTAACACAGTGAAAAAAAATTCTTCCTTTCTAGTTCTGTAGGTTTTAAACATGCACAAAGTTGTGTAACCATCACCACAATCAAGATATAGAACAACCCCCACTCCAAAGACTCACTCCAGCCCCGCTTCTGCACATGTGAGTCCCAAAGCCATTGTGCCATTCACCTTCCCTCCAGAGGCACAGGAGGGTCCCGGTTGTCCCACCTGGCTCTCGGCTCTCGACACTTGGCAGGTTGCTACAAATGGTGGCCTTCTAGTGGCTGTGTCGTTGATCTCACTACAGCTTTAATTTGCATTTCCCAAATGACGAATGAAGCTGAGCCTCTTTTGTGGGCTTATTTGAGTTACATATGCATGTCTGGTGCTGTGTCTGGTCATATCT